AAAAAAAAAAAAAATCAAACGCACTGCCGTTGAGTCGGATCTGACATTGCCCGTCCCGGAGAGAGCCAAGCCCAGCAAAAACTTGTTACCCTTTCTGGGGACCTCTTGTCCTGACCTAGGCTGCTCCCCTCACCCCTGAGCCCGTTTCCTTATCTTTAAAGACGGGCCTAACAGGACCCCCACTTCATGGGTGGTGGTGAATATTAAACAAATGACAGGATCGAAATGCCAGGAAAGAGTAGACCAATCAATGAGTGGTGAATGGATGGAGGAGACTTGTAGGGAAACAAGGTCCTCACCCCCTGTCTCTGTTGTTGTTGTTGTTTGCCATCGAGTCGGCCCTGACTCATAGCGACCCCTCCTTGGTTTCAGAGGCAGTATCACTACGGAAGTAGGATTGCCCAACCATCCTTCCGAGGAGTGGCTGGTGGGTTTGAACCGCCAGCCTTCTGGTGAGCAGTCAAGTGCCTTAGCCACTATGCTACCAGAGTTCCTCACCCCCTGTCTCTAGGAGCCAATAATTACAGGACGTCGGAGAGAGAAGGCAAAAGGTTTGAGTATCAAAACCCAAGGAGGCAGAGAGAATCGTTTCTCTAAAGCATCTGTCTCCCGGAACAAAGGGGTGAACGTGATTGTACAGGGAGAAGGGAAGCGGGTTGAAGATCCCTTGGACGGCCAGGAATGTCTTTGTTCTTCTCCCTGCTTACTCCAGACTCAGCGTCCCTCTTCCCAGGGTCAGCTTGCTTCATAGGTTACGGTTCTCAGCCGAAACTGGTCATGGGAAGGGGTTGTGCTTAGAAGAATACATAATTGGAAATAACAAATTTAAAGAACTCAGCAACCGTAAGGAGGTTGGCTACTGTACTTACTTAAAAGAAAGCAAAAGGGAGGGGAAAATCGCAAGTTAGTCACTATGGTTAATGTCTACCTTAATCATGCTTGCTAGTCTGTTAAAGTTCTGTGATTTCTAGTGAGGGGCCCCTACGGCCTTCCACTTCAGCCTCCCACGGGAAGAAATTAATCTGGCCAGACTTGGTTTGTCATCACAGTCTAGGTTGGCCAAACACACCCCCTTTTCTCACTCTGGAGTCTGTGAGTGGAGCAGACGGTTCACAGGCTGGGCTGCTAACCTGAAGCTGGAGGTTTGAGTCTACACAGGCACTTGGAAGAAAGGCCTGGCAATCTGCTTTCAAGAGATCAGTCAGGGAGACTCACAGGGGGCACAGCTCTGCTCTGATGGCATCTACTCAGGGCACGTGGTTCTCGTGGGCCCCTTGGGCTCCTTCCTGGCTGGTTCTGAGAGAGAACACCCCCTGGATGAAGGTGCTAGGGACACGTGGTCCTCAGTACCTGGAAGGTCCCCTTAGTGCTCGATGTTCTGGTGTGGCTACCAGCCTCGTGCAGGGGAAGGAATGCGTGTGCATGCACACACACACACACATACACACATCACTAATGCACGTGAAGGTTGCAGCCTTTAATCCTGAGTAAAGCTCCATTCAAGTTGTCTAGAACTTTCTTTCCTCAGGATTCACCCCTACCATTAACAACTAAAAGTAAGCCCTCATGGTGTAGTGGGTAAGGCATCTGGCAGCTGAATAGGAGGTCAGCGGTTCAAACCCACCAGCCGTTCTGAGGGAGGTGTAAATAGACTTACAGCCTTGGAAACCCAGTGGGGGTCACTGTGACTTGGAGTTGACTTGAAGGCAGTGGGTTTGGTTTGGTCTGGTTTATCACAGTTAAGACTGGCCTCTCCTCCACAGTTGACTCTCCTGGTTGACTTTATGGACATTGTTTGAGTCTGTCTCAGACACCTCAGGCCTGGGTTCATCAGAAAACCTCTGCTTGGTATCCCTCCCTCCCTCGCCCCCACCCACCTCTGGGACATCTGGTCACTGTCACCCACTGATCCCTTTAGATCCCCCTGAGTGAGTCACCCTCCTGTGGCAGCTCCTTGTAGCTGAGGAACTGAAACGCAGCTGGAGGTGCTCCCTGGAGCCTCAGTTTCCTCACCTGCAAGCGGGGTGGTGATCGCACCTCTCTCTCGGGCTGTTGGGGTGAATCCGTCCCCTGCACCACATTGCTCTCTCCTTGCTGCCACACTGTGTGATTGTCGGCACCATTGTAAGAGTGATTTGGATCTTTCCAGCGATAGTGAATTCTGCCCTCGTGCACCTTCGTCCCGAGGGCCTTCAGTGCATCGATGCCTGAATGACAGTGGCACTGCTAAGAATGCCCGGGTGTCAGGTGGGCAGAGAATTCTGGAGGCACGAGGACCCTTGACAGATCCCAGCCTTTCTAAGCAGCCATGACAGTAAGCTGGTCCATGTTGAGCACATACCGTGTGCTGTCCTGTTCTAAGTGGTTTATGGGTTTAGTTAATATTCGTGTTCATATTTGATGTTCACAATAAGGTGAGGTTTGTATAATGCCCATTTGAGATGGGAAAACTGAGTCCCAAATGAGGTTAAGTAGAATGGTCACATAGCCAGTAAGTGGCAGAACTGGGGTATGTGTGAAGACAGTCTATCAATGTCCCCCCCACCTGTCTATCAGTGTGTCATACTGTGTAGCTTACATATTGCTACAGTGTCTATAGTCTGTCAGTGTGGCATACTGCATAGCTTACATATTGCTACAGTGTCTATAGTCTATCAGTGTGGCATACTGTGTAGCTTACATATTGCTACAGTGTCTATAGTCTATCAGTGTGGCACACTGCGTAGCTTACATATTGCTGTGAGGGTGGAGTTTCCACTGAGTTCCCAACACCAGCAGGGCCACCCGTGGGGGACAGGATCCAGTGGCGCTTGCAGACTGAGGGAGACTAGGAGGAAAGGCCTGGTGATCTGTTTCTGAAAATGGGTCGATGGAAACCTTACGGTGCACAGCAGAGCGTTGCCTAACATAGTGCTGGAGGATGAGCCCCCTGGATTGGAAGGTGTTACACAAACACCAATGATCAGAAGCTGGCGTAAGACCAGGCAACATTTCGTCCCGTCACACACAAGGCCGAGATGAGTCTGAGCCGACAACAGCCCCAACAGGGACCTCTCCCACCTCTAGCTCCTCTCGCACCTTCTTGGAGTCCATGGAGGTCTTGCAGTCATGGTTCACGTTGACTGAGCATTGTAGGCCTGTGCTAAGCCCTTTGCCTCCTCTCTCATTTGATGTGAGACTCTGAGAAGTGGGAACCATCATTCTTACATTGAACAGACAAGGAAACAGGCTCAGAGAGTCCAAGGTCATGCAAGTCTCCAATCAGACCCAGCCCCCTGGTCTCCTGACTCTTGGGACTGATGTCTTCTTCCATAACCAGGTGTAGTCACTCTGGCTTCTTCTTTCTTTTCTTTTTTTAAAAGCCAGTTGCTATTGAGTCAACTATGACTCCGTAGAACTCTGCTCGCCTGGGCTTTCAGTGGCTGATCTCTTTGCTGGCTCTGGGTGGACTCAAACTGCCAATCTTTTGGTTAGTATCCGAGCACATTAACTGGTCGCACCACCCAAGGCTTCCCTGGCTTCACTGACAAGCTTTCCTTGAGCACCTGCTGTGGGCCAGGCACGGTGCTGGCTGCAGGGGCCACTGAAGAGAGGATGACAGTGTCCCGGACCTCAGATTGTGACCGCTGGGAATGTGGACCCCATGGGACAGGTCCTTGACTTTTCATCCCTTGATGTGCTTGCCCTTATATTTGGTCATGGACTGAAATTCAAAGCACTGGCCACACTAGAAACCTCTGTTGACTGGTGACACCTAGGAGCTGCTCACCTGTGACCTACAGCCTAAAACGAGAGGCAGATGTGCGAATGCAGCAGGGGACATGAACGGGTCCCAGACTCACTGCCCCTCAGGTGCCGCTCCTAACTGGGTGGGTGTTGGGGGGGTGGAGTTGAAAGGGATATTCTGGTGAGAGCCTTGAAGAATGGGTAGGAATTTACATGGAGGACACAGGGCCAAGGGCATTCGAGGTTGGGGGACCAGC